TTTGTTTAAATATTTAGGAATTAGCTTTGTTAGAAACTTTGTCTTTCTTTCAAATCACTTCAATTTCTTTCCGAATTCAACCAGAATCATTTTTTAAAATCTTTTCTATTTTCACAGAAGCCATTAAAATTGTAAAGATGTAATTGAATTTATACATTTGGGTGGATCTTTTCTCCTGCTGTCATCGTAATAAATAACGAGAAAGTAAGTAGAAAGAAAGTTATAGTTAGTTAGAAATACAGAAATAAGATTTGTCCTTGTAGAAGATTATACGAATCTAATACAAACTGGTTGGTTGGATTTAACTTCAATAGTGTATTGATACCTAATATAGAATGACTGGTTTGATGACGTCAGAAATATGCCTAAATGAACACCCGAGGAAGTTTGATGACGTCAGAAATGTGCCTAAATGCGCACCCGAGGAGATGGTCCTGTCGGTACTATAGATATTTAAAAAGTTGATCCCTGAATTTTTGACTTTAGCGAGTGCTGTAGTGGTTTGTTTCCGTGTGACTAACAGTTGAAGACGACTTGCAGGAGGCTATAGAGTCTGGAACTATGACGTGACGCTGCTATATTAGGAGATAGTTTATTTGTACCGAGGCTGGAAGGTTAAAAACTACATTAATCTCTACACGTTATTGTTTTACTCTAGACAACAGGCAATATACAACTGTAGGGAGGGAACAATAAGAGAGGAGGGGGTGGGGCAGTGAGAGAAGAAGGCGTCAGTGAGAGAGGGTATAGGAGAAGCAGCCTGGGTGAGGGGTTCTGGAGGATTCTGTCTACCTATCTTCCCAGATTATCTGTACCATTTACAGCTGGGTTGACTGCGATCCAATGAGGTCAGCACGCCGTCCCGGATTTGAACCCACGGCCACCATTTGTTCGACGTTACGAAGCAAATGACGTCATGTAACGGTTCCAACTCTCTAACTGACTGTGCCTCAGCGCGTCCTCAAATAAATTAATGGACAGCCTATTTGTGTCATATATATGTAACATAATATAAATCAACCAATAATTGAGTTTTCTATTAAAAATCACGATAGTAGAACCAATATTTAAATTTAATATTTTACCAGGCTTTTCAAAAAATTCAATATGTGTTTTCTCATAACATAAAGCTTTTAAAACTCTATTATTCTCGTTCTACTCTGGCTCGACTTCAAACAAACCTTGGTCTCAATTTCTACACAAAATTACTTCCAAACTGCAACAGACCGACATAATGCTTTCATATTAATTGGAATCCTGCAAGTCTTTGAGGATGTGCGTTCCAGGAACGATGAAAGTTTGTAGAATTAATGGGGTTACATCAGGCATAAAATATTATAAAGTTCTCGACTTGATTATCTGTCAGCCTAGTAGAGTTTTTATTCCTTAATATTTCTATTTAAAGCGGCGGAGGTGTTTTAACAAATAATCAGGTATTTATATTTATATCCTAAATTTCCTGATTTAGAAAATGATTAGTGGAGATAAGGTCCAGATACAAAACATTGATGCAAAAATATTATTATCATTCATTTTATTCCTACATTATACAGTTAGTCATTTTGCAGAAAAGTAGGAGGTTGGGGGGTTGCGATTTGCCCTCCAAGAAAAATGGTTTGCACCCCCAATTATACTACTACTTCATTTTTAACAAATATGAAAATATTTTCGGTCTTCCTAAGCGGTAGTGTTCCTTTAAATAAAAAGAAAAACACCAAGAATAATCTTTAAATCTTTGTTGAAATTGATTTAACCAAAATCTCAAATTAATTGTTCCCGACATAAAAATTAAAACAGTAATTTATTCTGGTTAGAAAAACAACGTCTCCTGTTGGTTGTTTATAAAACAATGAAACTAGTAATAAATATTTTAAAGGTGAAGGTAATTTAGGGTATGAGTAGCTGTTGGTCTGGTGTAAAGGTATAAAATGTCATTAGTAAGGTGTTAAATAGGTAAAATACCTATATACCTGTTATAGTACCTATATTTAACATTATATACCTTAGTTACTACGTGATATACCATAGTTACTGACTGATATACCATAGTTACTGTCGTGTATACCATAGTTACTGTCTTGTATACCATAGTTAGGACGTCATTTTGATGGTAACGGCGCATATATTGCACCGACTGCGTTGTAAACTTAATTGTATTCCTATAAACCACAGTTTTCCCTTAAATCTTTAAAAACTTAACCGGCCAAATTAAAAACTGAAAAAACAACAATAACAAAAAAATATAGCTTACAAATACCTCTAGCTACTTCGCGGAATAAAAAATCTTAAACCATATTGTCGGCGTCTTTGATGACAGTATGTTCAAAGAAAAGAAAAGTTAATAGATTATATCAACTTGTCATTCAGTTTAAACTGTAGAATACCCGGGAAGATGAAAGCTATAATCACGTGCTTGTCACCTACTTTGTGTTTTAAAGGAAGTTTTTAAGAAACTGAAGGAAATGAAGACCAATGACTTGACAACTTTTAAATTCAAGAGAAATTGAAAAAAGGTTGAAATTCGTCAGTGATCAATATTCTGTCAGTCGACTTGGTTAAGAATTCTTGTTCTGAAAACTGTCATTGTGCCAAGTAATTTGCCCCACCCCCATTGTCCACTGTATGGTGTTGTCAGTCTTCAGTAACCAAACAGGAACAGGAAAGTAAAACTCTATTTTAGTTGTAGTTCGGACACTGAAGCTCTTTCACAATAATTTCGCATGATTCTTGCTGTGCAATTTGTCCTTTTACCAGACAATTCCACTCATTGTCCACTGCATTACGTTACCCGTATTAATTAGGCCAATCAGAGAGAGAACACAGGACGCAAAATTTCATTTATTTTTCGACCCTATTTCAGTAACCATTTAATGAAAACTCTTCTGAAACACCTAATGGAATTCAGCACTTGGCCTCTTCTTTATATTATTGTAGACGAACTGGATGTGAGATTTGATTCTCAAAGTAATACGTGTTCGCTGAAATCTTAACATTCTAGAAATTTCATCTTATTTCAATTTAAATTAGGCCTACAGAATTCTGGTAGAAAACTGTAGTCACTTCCTTAAAAGTATGGTTTAATTGCAAACGGACTGTATTTCAGAATTTCATTTTAGAAATGATACTAACAGCTGCAAACCTTTACATGCTATTTCCAGTAACAATTCTAATAGAAAATCTGAGGGTTTTTTTACGAGAAAAGGAAGAAAGTCTTGAGTAGAAAGAGATTATTTTCTAATTTCATCTTAAAGACTCGGAACTAAAAAAACAGAAAAAAACGAAAAAAAAAAAAACACAGAGTAAAAACTTAAAGATGACAAGAATAAATTAACACTTTCATTTCAATCGACAGATTAAATTCTTTGCTGATGGCAGAAAACGATGAGCTGGGTTTTCTTTTTTCAATCAGAAATTATAACAGGCCTATCCTTGACTCAGATTAACGACGAACATCCATCAATACGACAATTCTCTCATACAGAGTTGTCGTTCCTTGCAGTCTTTCATACAGAGTTGTCGTTCCTTGTAGTATATCATACAGAGTTGTTGTTCCTTGCAATCTCTCATACAGAGTTGTCGTTCCTTGTACTACGTCAAAACTCTAACTACGGACCAGACGTCACTATGGCAAAAGCTGCTATTGAGTTATAAGAACCTTTGCGATAGTGACGTCATATAGATTGCAGTCTAATTAGAATTTCCGGAACCAAAGACTCATTTCGAAATGGCCTCTGATATTGAACATTGAAAACCAATTGACTGTCAACGATTTTCTTTATCGGGTGTCATACTAAATATCATAAATACAAAATTATCATTGCAGGAAAGATATCGACAATTAACTCTAAGATTATAACTTCTAGCTCTGAATCATCTCCTGCCGACCTCAACTTTAATTCTTTGGTATGTCAGAGAAATCTATTGAAATGTTGTTTGATAGAAATGGTGTTTGATAGAAGAAAAAAGGCGACAAAGCGTAAAAATTGTTAAAAACATTGAAACCATTAGGTAGCTATTCAGCCTAGAATCGTGTTAACACATCTCACTCTTCTAACACCTTTTACTATATGAATAACGACAGTAGAAAGCCTTTCACACCCGGAGTTTTGACTCGCAATTAGATTACCAGGAGAAATATGTTTTATATCTAACATATATAGCGTTTTATAAAATAATTCTATGGGTATTAGGGGGCGAGAACCAACACCGGGTCGGCTCTCATGAGGAGGATTCGAACCCATGGCACCTAATCGCCTAGCAGACGACAATCAAACTCGCTACAACTGGCTATTCAAATTTTAAGAGAAGAGATAACATTAAATAAACAACTTTAAATCCTTTTACTATTGTTGTAATAAAATTAAAATTAAATTAAACAATAAAACTCAGGAGAAGTTTAGCTCTGTTATTTAATATTATAAAATAGTAGGCCTAGAAAGGGATTATTTGATGATTAATAGTTTTAAAGATTAGCTAGCAGATTATTATCTTAGATCTTAATATTCCTTTTTAAATAGTACAAATAACAGTTTTCTGTGGTCAAAATTCAGAATTTAACACAAAATAAATATCCTAGCCAAAGAATTTATGTAAAAAGAAAGATGGTGCTAATTGTTACTATGATTGTAGTTGTTAAAACAGACAATTTGATTGGCTATTTAAAATAAGGTTAACCAACCAGTAAATGTCAAAGTGGAACTAATCCTGGAAGTCTAAGAGTTCTAGTGAACTGTGAAGACAGTTTTAGTCTGGATTCTTAATGAAAGGAAATGGACAATAAAAAGAAAGATGTTAAAATAAAGAGAAAATGTATTCGTGTTCTATTTAACACGAGAGAGTGAGAATGTATTCGTGTTCTATTTAACACGAGAGAGTGAGAATGTATTTCTGTTGTATTTGATACGAGAGAGTGAGAATGTACTTCTGTTCTATTTGACACGAGAGAGTGAGAATGTATTTCTGTTCTATTTAACACGAGAGAGTGAGAATGTATTTCTGTTCTATTTGATACGAGAGTGAGAATGTATTTCTGTTCTATTTAACACGAGAGAGTGAGAATGTATTTCTGTTCTATTTAACACGAGAGAGTGAGAATGTACTTCTGTTCTATTTGATACGAGAGAGTGAGAATGTACTTCTGTTCTATTTGACACGAGAGAGTGAGAATGTATTTCTGTTCTATTTAACACGAGAGAGTGAGAATGTATTTCTGTTCTATTTAACACGAGAGAGTGAGAATGTATTCGTGTTCTATTTAACACGAGAGAGTGAGAATGTATTTCTGTTCTATTTAACACGAGAGAGTGAGAATGTATTCGTGTTCTATTTAACACGAGAGAGTGAGAATGTATTTCTGTTCTATTTAACACGAGAGAGTGAGAATGTATTTCTGTTCTATTTGATACGAGAGAGTGAGAATGTACTTCTGTTCTATTTGATACGAGAGAGTGAGAATGTATTCGTGTTCTATTTAACACGAGAGAGTGAGAATGTATTTCTGTTCTATTTGATACGAGAGAGTGAGAATGTATTTCTGTTCTATTTGACACGAGAGAGTGAGAATGTATTTCTGTTCTATTTAACACGAGAGAGTGAGAATGTATTTCTGTTCTATTTAACACGAGAGAGTGAGAATGTATTTCTGTTCTATTTAACACGAGAGAGTGAGAATGTTTTTCTGTTCTATTTGATACGAGAGAGTGAGAATGTATTTCTGTTCTATTTAACACGAGAAGGTGAGAATGTATTTCTGTTCTATTTGATACGAGAGAGTGAGAATGTTTTTCTGTTCTATTTGATACGAGAGAGTGAGAATGTATTTCTGTTCTATTTGATACGAGAGAGTGAGAATGTATTTCTGTCCTATTTGATACGAGAGAGTGAGAATGTATTTCTGTTCTATTTGATACGAGAGAGTGAGAATGTATTTCTGTTCTATTTGATACGAGAGAGTGAGAATGTATATCTGTTCTATTTAACACGAGAGAGTGAGAATGTATTTCTGTTCTATTTGATACGAGAGAGTGAGAATGTATTTCTGTTCTATTTGATACGAGAGAGTGAGAATGTATATCTGTTCTATTTAACACGAGAGAGTGAGAATGTATTTCTGTTCTATTTGATACGAGAGAGTGAGAATGTATTTCTGTTCTATTTAACACGAGAGAGTGAGAATGTATTTCTGTTCTATTCTGTTCTATTTGATACGAGAGTGAGAACGTATTTCTGTTCTATTTGATACGAGAGAGTGAGAATGTATTTCTGTTCTATTTGATACGAGAGAGTGAGAATGTATTTCTGTTGTATTTGATACGAGAGAGTGAGAATGTATTTCTGTTGTATTTGATACGAGAGAGTGAGAATGTATTTCTGTTGTATTTGATACGAGAGAGTGAGAATGTATTTCTGTTCTATTTAACACGAGAGAGTGAGAATGTATTTCTGTTCTATTCAACACGAGAGAGTGAGAATGTATTTCTGTTCTATTTAACACGAGAGAGTGAGAATGTATTTCTGTTCTATTTGATACGAGAGAGTGAGAATGTATTTCTGTTCTATTTGATACTAGAGAGTGAGAATGTTTTTCTGTTCTATTTGACACGAGAGAGAGAGAATGTTTTTCTGTTCTATTTGATACGAGAGAGAGAGAATGTTTTTCTGTTCTATTTGATACTAGAGAGTGAGAATGTTTTTCTGTTCTATTTGATACGAGAGAGAGAGAATGTTTTTCTGTTCTATTTGATACTAGAGAGTGAGAATGTTTTTCTGTTCTATTTGACACGAAAGAGCGTGAAATAATACCACAGTAAGGTTCTATCTGACACGTCAGGTTTAAATTATAAATAAGATAGAAACTAGATTGGAGTTATTCTCGATTCACAGGCTTTCTTGTTAAAATGTCTGACAACTTGCCTTCTATCAACAACATTATTAATAATTCATTTAACAACTGATATTACCTACCATTCCCCTGTTTATATTGATATATAAAAAAAGGGGGGGGGGGGGGGGGGGCAATTCATCAGGTGGTCGAGTAAGAGTAATAATCCCTTGTTAAAGATATTGTTAACAAACAAAACTCAACATGACAACCTGATTATTAGTGATACAATGAAATACAATGTAATACAATTTATACTGAATGATAAACACCAGTCGCCAAACAATTTATCTCTAATTGATTCTATCTAATTAACTAATGACCCTTGCCTGATTTCTGGTTACTCTGGAGATTGCCAGGAATAATTCCGAACACGTTCTGTAAATTATCAGGCACTGTACTGATTGTTGGAAGCTGATTATCAGGATAGTTTGGCACCATGAGTAAACACTTCATTCTGGATGAAGTCAAAACATCCACGGATATTTTACTGGCTAAAACTCTTGTAGATCTCGAATTGGAATGATAATAGAACAGTAGCACATCAAGTTGTCTTGTTGAAAGATAAAGAGCGTCCATATAATATTATTATCATAATGGGATGTTACATGAGGTAGCACACATATATATATTTATACATAGATATATATTTTATGACGTCACTAGCGTAAATATCATTTAACATCACTGAAATTGCTGCATCAAGTTGTCTTGTTGAAAGATAAAGAGCGTCCATATAATATATTATCATAATGGGATGTTACATGAGGTAGCACACATATATATATTTATACATAGATATATATTTTATGACGCCACTAGCGTAAATATCATTTAACATCACTGAAATTGCTGCATCAAGTTGTCTAGTTGAAAGATAAAGAGCGTCCATATATTATCATAATGGGATGTTACATGAGGTGGCACATATATATTCCCGATATATATTTTATGACGTCACTAGCGTAAATACCATATTGGTCTTATTGAAATTGCTGCATCAAATTGTCTTGTTGAAAGATAAGATTCATTCATATTACAATATATTATTCATGGTATCTAAAAGATGTGATTTGTATTATTCCATAATATACTTTAAAGATACGTTTTAGTTAATTTTTAGTGTCAACTAAAGCAAACTATTTGATTAATTGGTGTTTCTAATGAATTATCATGTATTCTTAATCATATCATTATGTTCTTATTGCATATAATTAAGAGTTTTAACCAATCATAACGTTCCTGTATGTACAGAAGACTTTTTGACCTTTCTTGATCGGTCACTCATGGTAATTCTGCTGGTAATTCTCTTCTAATTTAACTAATTATGAATTAATTATGGACATGTGAGATAAAGTGGTATTTTTCTTAGTCATTAGAACACCTCTACTTTCTATTCATATAAATATTAGTATTTTCATTTTCATAAATGAAAATAAGGGAACCCATCTTTAATTTCGTCACTAGTGTAAATACCATTCAGCTGTAATGTAACCACAGCCAACCTCATTTACTTGAATTTATTACAGGGTTAAGAATCGTTATGATTATAATATTATATATAGTAAAAGAAGTTAAAACTTTCATTAGTAGAGTTTGTATTGGAAGAAGTATAGAGTTATTTACTCCAATCTGATCTTCCATCCGACATCTTTGATCCCTGTAATTTTCGGTATTTGAAATTAACTTCAGTAGAAAACGTGTTTCCTCTCTGTTTTTGAGATGTAAGTGAAACTGTTCATTTTATTTTATCTGTCCGATGAAGTGTTTTATTTCTCTGAACTGGTATTTTACGATCTCAATTTGTTCAAGCAACTGGTTTATTTTCTGTGTCGAAAGAATAAAAAGCTTTATAAAGTGATTGCTTCTCGTAAATTCACTTTAATAAAAACATTGTCGTCTGCTTAACGAGCGTCTTTATTAGCCTACCTTATTGAAACTACATCATCAAACGTTTTATTCTGAATACACGACTGTTTTACTACTAATCTTTGGTATTTATTTTTTTATGTCTAGGGACTAGATAGTAAGGGTCGCGTGTTACTAGCCCTAGGGTAGATAGGAGAGACGGGGAGGGGGTCTAGAGTTTGAGGGTAGCCTGTGTGTAATGTTTTTTTTTCGGGTATTGAAACGACATTATCAAAAGTTTTATTCCGAATAAATGATTGGGTTGGGTATAGAGTTTGGGTGGTGGGGTGGGGTGGTTAGATTATGGGTTCTACGAGATAATAAAAACTTGTCATTGTAATTTCGGTATAATATAATGAGTAGTCTCCCTTTAATCTATTAACAGCGCGGACGTCATTGAGAACATTGTAATATAACAGATAGAGTCGCTCATTTTAATAAACATTTTTCTATTGGATAATTTTTTAATTCATCCAATGATTCACTTCTTCATTTATCCATTCTTTCTTTTTATTCGTCCACTTACCTGTTCTTTCATTCATTAGTTAATTCATCGTCCATCCATTAATTTCTTCACACTATCAGGGAGTTATCTATTCATTCATCCGTTTTATCATTCATTCAAATCACCATCACTCATTCTTTTATTTTTCCATGCATTCATCATTTTCTTCAATTAAATAATTCATTCTTTCACTCATTCTTTCATTCATTCTTTCATTCATTCATTCATTCGTCCACTAATTGAATCATTCGTTCTTTCATTCATTCAATGGCTCATTCTTTCGTTCACTAATTCATTCATTTCTTCTCCCTCTCGGTCATTCATCTCATTCATTCTTTCGTTTCATTTATCCACTCATTCATTCATTCATCCACTGATTCGCTCCTTCGTTTATTCATTTATTCGACATTATTCAGTCATGAATCATGAAGTCAGTCAAGTATAAAACTAAGATGTTTATAGTAAATTATAATCATTTAGACTTGATGAAATTCTGTCAAAAATGGCGGCAAATCTGACAGAATTTTCATCGCCATTAAAAATTCATTGATTATTTTTACATTGAAAATCACAATAATTATCCTGGTGAAAAACTTTCAAGATTCTGTCTATTAGAAAATTTCAAACTTTATCTTTTTAATTTCTGGGTCGCAAATTGTGCGGAGAAACTACGTATGGTTCTTACATGGAAATAACACAAGAATGCAGTTTACAGCCATTTTGAATCTTTACTTCGACTTAATTATTCGAATTCTTAACAATGCTATAATATTACAACCAAGCCTCCAAATCATATTTAAGGTTTAACAAATGGCTTTAATTGAGATTTGGAGGTTTAATTTAAATATTATAACCTTGTAAACAATTCGACTTATTATGTCCAGGTAGAGATTTAAAATGGTTCTGAACTATGTTTGTGCGTGTTATCTCCATGTAGGCTAAGTAAGTCATACCTAGTTGCACGGAATGTCTTGATATTGAATAGTTTGAAAAGAATCTGGTTGTTTGCTCGTGTTTTTAAAACAAATAACAAAGCAAATAAATCATAATTTTAATTTAGACCGACATCTGAGATAGAATATATTTAAAATGGCGATAATTATAACGACAAGCGATTAAACTTGTTAAAGACTTGGAAGAAAGATAAAACCCATTTCCAAATCTTGTTCTTTACGCCACGACTTCCGGTTGATTACAAACAACTTTACCACCAATCTTCTTCTCACCACAAACCGGAAGTAGACAAAGATAGGCAGACGACGTAAATGAAGTGATAAATTTGAGCGGGAAATGCATTTAATCTGACCAGACGACTAAAAGGATGGTGTTGAATTTGATTCCAATTTATTTAAGAAATACTGAGATATTTTGAGTTTTAGCCTCGACAGCTGTTTGTCCTACCCAGGATGAATTTGAACTCGATCTATTTCTTAAAATCTGGATTTTATTTAAGTTAAGTTTGGGAGAATAAGGCCCCTGCAGGTGGGATTTCCTTCACAACTACAGTTTAACAAGAGATTCTAACTATCGACGCTATAAACCAAAAAGAAACAAAACAAAACAAAACAAAAAAAAAAAAACACACATCGCCTTGGGGACAGACGAACACCTAAAAAATGTCGTAAATTATACCCAAAATATTTCTAAATTTACTTCCATGTATCTTCTAGATATTATTAGTTGAAACCTTTAGAAAGCGTAGGAAAACATATTTCTCTTCAATCAGGCGTTTATTTAACTCTGTACAGTGGTTTTCAAATAGCTTCCAGAAAGCATGAAGAACTTATAAACCTTACGTAATGTTTTTATATAGTTCTGGCCCCCAAACCACCAACAATATCAGACGACTGATGACATCATAATATCTCTGTATTTTTAGTTTCATTATAAAAGATATAAGATAAATAATTCTCTAATCCTTGAAGATACCAGTCGGGATTCAGGTCCCGGTGTGAACCAACTAAATGTTTCCAATCATGTAGCTCATCCATCGATAAATTCTTCTACAATCAGATGAAGGTTTTTAAAAGAATACTACCTCTTAGAAAGGACATAATATTTAAACTTGGTCAATAAGATTATGTATTCATCTTAGAATCTCTATATATGACAATATATCTATGAAAGAGATTGTAAAAAGATTTTTATAGGAGTGGTCCTCTGAGTGCTATCTGTCCCTACCCAGTCCTCAGAGTGGTATATGTCTCTACTCAGTCCTCCGAGTGGTATATGTCTCTACTCAGTCCTCCGAGTGGTATATGTCCCTACCCAGTCCTCCGAGTGGTATATGGATGAAGCTATCTAATTAAGATAGTTTGCCAATTAAGGTAATATACGCCCACTGGCAGCTTTGATTTTAAATAAAAACATTTAGCAGTACAGTAACAATCACCAGTATGAAATATTCAACCTTCAGTCATACACTTCTTCTGAACAAAATCTGTCAAGAATTGGGTCTATTAGAGTGTGTTACAGGCTAAAACTTAAACCTATTTTTAAGAACAAGGGCAATAACTCATACCAACTATTTTTCTGATTTTCAATAGGATTACAAACAATCATACCAAGTCTTGTCAAAATCAGTCAAGAATTGGGTCTATTAGAGTGTGTTAAGGCTAAAACTTAAACCTATTTTTAAGGGTGAGGGCAATAACTCATACCAACTATTTTTCTGATTTTCAATAGGATTACAAACAATCATACCAAGTCTTGTCAAAATCTGTCAAGAATTGGGTCTATTAGAGTGTGTTACAGGCTAAAACTTAAACCTATTTTTAAGAACAAGGGCAATAACTCATACCAACTATTTTTCTGATTTTCAATAGGATTACAAACAATCATACCAAGTCTTGTCAAAATCAGTCA